GATGGAAGAAAGACAGCCTCTTCAGTAAATGGTGCTGGCAAAATTGGTTAAACATCTGTAGAAAACTTGTTAAATCCTATATATCACTTTGCACCAGAATCAACTCCAAATGGGTCAAAGACCTCAAAGTAAAAAGACACTCTGAAAACAATACAGGAAGGAATAGTAGAAACTCCAGGGTTCCTTGGCACAGGCCAAAATTTCCTTAATAAAGACCCACAAGCACAACAAAGTTTGGACAAATGGGATTGCATGAAACTGCAGAGCTTCTGCATGACAAAGGACATTGCTAGGAAGATCAATAGAAAGCCCATTGACTGGGAGAAAATCTTCACTAGCCAGACAATGGACAAGGGCCTCATATCTAAAATATACTTAGAATTCAAAAAATTAAACTCCCCAAAAACAAACCCTCAAAGAAACAACTGCCCCATTAAAAAGTGGCCTAAAGACTTAAGGAGAGAGTTCTCTGAAGAAGAAATAAGAATGGCTCATAGATACATGAAGCTCAACTTCTCTAGCCATAAAAGAAATGCAAATCCAAACAACATTGAGATTCCACTTCACCCCAGTTAGAATGGCTATAATCAAGAGATCTAATAACAACAGATGCTGGAGGGGATGTGGACAGAAAGGAACCCTACTGCCTTGTTGGTGGGAGTGTAAACTTGTTCACTACTTTGGAAAGCAGTATGGAGGTTCCTCAAAGGACTCCACATAGATTTCCTCTATGATCCAGCAATCCCACTTTTGGGCATTTACCCAAACGATCACAAACAAAGGTATACTAAAGCTACCAGCACAACTATGTTTATCACAGCATTATTTATCATAGCTAAGATACGGAATCAACCCAGATGCCCCTCAGAATGATCACAAACAAGACTATACTAAAGCTACCAGGACAACTATGTTTATCACAGCATTATTCACCATAGCTAAGATATGGAACCAAACCAGATGTCCCTCAGTAGAAGAATGGAATAAGAAAATGTGATATATATGTATATATATATTTATATATATGTATATATATATATATGAATTCTATGCCTCCATCAGAAATAATATAAGGAAATGGAAAGACGGAAAAAATCATATTAGGTAAGCCAGACCCAAAGAGACATAGGGCTCATGCTTTCCCTTATTTGCAATAATTAGTATATATTTAGATCTTAGCAGATGAGCAGAATAGCTCAATAGCTATGTACATATGACCATATAAGATGATGCTAAATGAAATGAACTCCAAAGCACAAGACGTTTTTCTTTGTTGTTGTTGTTTTCAACGTATTACGTGTTTTTGTTTGGTTTGTATGTTCTTCACCCTCTGGTATGTCATCTGTTGTTACTGTATTTCATTCTGGTACACTGGTATTGTATATATGTTTATTTGAATTAGAGAAGAGAAGGGGAACAATAGAATGGTAAGACAAAGGACAAGGGGGGAACCAATGCAACAGTGACATCACAGACAATATGTTGGAAATGATCTGTACAAACTGGGGGTGGGCGGGAGGGGAGGGAAAGTAGGAGAAAAGTGAGGGAAGTGGAAACAGGGTTGACAAGAAATGTACTCATTACCTTACTTTTATAACTGAAACCTCTCTTAACTGAAACCCCTTTGAATTGATAATTAAAAAAAGAAAAAAAGCCAAAAGCAAACAAAAATTTAAAAAAAGAATAAGAAAAAAATTATTAAACATATACATATAAAATCCCACAATGTTTCCCCCTCCCCTCTGGAAAGTTAGGGTAGAGAAATAAATCAATGTAAGTAAAATGTAAAAGAAAGTTCTATTTTTTTTTTGTTTCTAGGTAACTATGCTTTTAATCCTACTGCTATTTCTCATGGAGAATAGCATGTTCTGCTTGATGAATAAGTTATACATTTACTAAGTGTGTGTGTGTGTGTGTGTGTGTGTGTGTGTGTGTGTGTGTGTGTGTGTGTGCGCGCGCGCGCCTGTATTGGGCTTGAACTCAGAGCCTGGAGACTGTCCCTTAGTTAACTCTCTCAAAGCTAATGTTCTACGTCTTGAACCACAATTCCACTTCTGGCTTTTTTCTGGTTAATTGGAAATAAGAGTCTCATGGTCTGGCTTTGATCTTCAGATCTTTGTGATCCTCAGATCTCAGCTAGGATTACAGGGCATGAACTATCAGTGCCCAAATATATATTTTCAGGTTCTTATAACGAAACATATACCTAAAACCCCTCCACATTTATTCTGTGCAACTGCTTACACGGAATTGTTGTTAATTAAATTTTATTTGGGATATTATTTTCCAGGAAAAAAAAGATAGCATTTGATTTTTCAATGTTAACTAATGAGAAAGCAACATCCCAATTTTTCTGAAATTCTAATGGCAGTCAAATTTGACACTTTACACGAGACACTGCAAAACGTTTATTACACCTGGTCATATTTGATGAACAAAAGTGGGTACATGTCCTCTTTTTCACCCTGTATTTATCAAGAGCCTCTAGAGGGGGCACCTTGCAAGGCTGTGACATTTGAATGGGCCATCTCATTCGCCCTCCCTACCCCCACCTCCGGGCAGGTTCCACTCAGCCTCAGGCAGGTGAACATCTTTCTCATTAGCAGTGTGACTCTTGTCCCTCAGAATAACTAGCTTGAAATACAATTGATTTTCACAGCAATAATCAGCATGGAAGTAATTGTGTGAAAGTGAAATGTATTGGGAAGATCTTTTCTCAATGTTAGAGAATAAATCGAAAGGACTAGTCAAACCTTGAACTTGGCCATTAGAGGGCAGGCCAACACCACTTACTATAAATGCTGCTCAGGCTTGCTGTGGTAGACCACAGGTTTTGAAGGTTAGCAACTTCGCTGAAGGACCATCAATGGGTGCTTAACCAGTCAGTAGGATCTGCGATATTTGACACTGATTTTCTACTTAAGGCCATTATTTTAATCTATAATACTTTACAGACTAAAATAGTGGCTTAAAATGACTTAAAATGGCCTTAAAAACTTGTTTTAAACTTTGAGGCTAGCTAGTAAGGATATATAATGACTAAATTAATGATAAAATGTATGTAATGATGATACATAATAGTTCATTCTCAGTCAACTTAGAAAAAAGACAGTGTACAAGGAACTGAAAATTTATAATTATAAAATTTCAAACTTTTCATTTTGTTTAGACTGCCCTAAGAATCTATCACAAACATTTAAATTTAAAAAGCAATATATACTTTGATATAATTTTAATGACTTGTTTGATTAATATATAGGCTTACCATTTTCATTATTTATAATTTTACTGTGTAAAAGAAAAAAAGAACTTTCACTGATTATATAGCAGGTATTACATCAGCAGGCATAAGGTACCACAGCACTAGTGTGTTTAACTGTGAAAACGAATTGTTTTAGGTTTAATATTTAAACAATGACAAAGTTAGAGAACAAAAACTTTGGACAACTACAATTAATCAACATTTATTAGGTTGTTACTATGTAATTTGTCCCTTATTTAGAAATTAAAGAAGACAAAAATAATCTGTTTAATTTTTTCATATTTTTTAGTAAAGAAGCTCATTGCATTATAGTAAATCATAAAGCATTTCTTTAGAAATAGATGTTTTTGTCTTTTAAACGGTTAAAGCAAACTCAAATTCATTACCATTAGTAAAAGCAGTAGGATAATAAAATTGGCTCACTACACAGTTACAGTATAAGCATTGAAGATTTTTTAAAGGCACAGATATTTCTGTGACATATCTTAAGAGGAAGAACTTACTTTTTAACTGTTTATTCTTAAAATCATATAAAATTACATATTATAAATTTGGATAGAACATAAGCCTATGAGGTAAGACTTAAAGCAAAGAGACAAGACTACTCTCTACCAATATATTCTATGCAAGATGAGTCCACATATTGTTTTTCTTTTGGAGGTAGCTTTTCATGTGTTTAAAACACAAAATAAAAATTATGTTAGACCTATTGGGATGAACATGTTTAAACAGTTTGGGACAAAGCTTTGAGTATGATTTCAAACTCACAATAAAATTTAACTATTTTAGAAACTTTAATTCATTAGGTGTACTTAAACATCGCATCAAATATTGCTCATACATATTGCATTTATGATTATGATACATACTGTATTTTCTTTCAAGATCGAAAATAAGTTGGGATTTCTTTAGTAAAATGGACTATTCTAAAAGAATGTCTCAGAAATAAAAATAGTTTTGAGTTCCAACATTTGTTCTCAGAGGCTTATCAAAATTCTTTATGAGAGGGTATAAATTAAATACACTTTGAATACTACTACTAATAAATGGCATATCTTAGGAATGATGGATAGATTAATTATAAGTATATAAAAACAAGTCTCTTTATTTAAAACCAGGTGAATATTTAAGTTTAATTTTTGTTAACTTCACAATAAAATGTCACTGATTTGAAAATTAGTACTTTGACTAAAAGGAAAAATTTCCAAAAGCTCAAAACAAAGGAGAAAATCATATTAATAGATACACTTTTATAGAACTTTTAGTGACTTGATTTCACATAGGTTATCTGTAAAGGGTATTGTTTTGTAGATTTCTCAGGGGCTTTGCAGTTTCTAGTCGATGTCAACAAATCATAGTTTCTAACAACTTCGATATTTTACAGATAGGTTCAACAGGTTGAATGGTTACAAAGCAATTTTCTAGTCTGCTACTTCACCCTACTTTTACAAAAACAAATACCTAAATATTTCTCTGATAGATCTGAGATTGTTAGTCAACACACCGCTGTTTTTTTTTTAAAGATAATTCATCTGCAACTTTAATACCACGCAAAGGCAACTTTCTAAGAAAAAAAAGTGTCATACTCAGAAATCACAAGGCTTAATGGGCTACAGCAATAAATGGTCTTGACAATGAAATGCAAAGTGGAATCTACCGAAAGCACCATAGAACTAAATAGAAAATTTATACTCTTTGGGAATTGCACTCATTTGAGATGAGAAAGAAGCATCCTTACCTCTGACATCTATCAGAATGATGACATGAAGTAGGAGGAACATTGCAATCGATCTCAGGCTGAGGAGATGTCTAATATCAGATGCAGAGCAACAGGCTTACAGCAATGAGGTTGTTTGACGTCGTCTCCTTATACCTCAGAACTAGTTCTGATATAGTAACTTGGGTGCCTCCCATGTATCTGAGCATGCTCACTGCTAAAATTTTCCCTGGCACAAGAGGAGATGGACTCTTGTCCCTACACAGCCTGCCCTTTCTCTTACTTTGTTTTATTTTAAATGCATAAATAGTGTCATTGGTCATGAATTCATTATAGCATGTAAAAGGGAGGCATAAATATGACTCAAATATTGTTAGATAAGAAACATTTGAAAATCAACTTTCCCTGTTTCCCTCCTCCAACCACATAGAACATTTTGCACAGACTTTAAATCTAAACATATAAAAGAAATTCTCAAATATGAAGGAGTATAGATTTATACTGAATAGGTTATGAAACTCTTCACATGCATATTTTTCATGCAATAAGCAACTGACAAAAATCTACTTACGGACAAATACAAAGAACACCCACTCCTATTCACACGTAAATGCTTTAGAATAACATACAGAAGAGAGTAATTATTAAAATATATAGCTGTGTGTTAAACAGTTACTTACTGTAAAACATTTACACAATATTTTGAAGCTCTCTTCGTCTCTCCCAGTCATATTTCTATTTTAAAGTGGATGACTTTCACCTTGCTTTCAATGGGGCTGCACACCTACTAGAAAACATTAAGTATGACTTATTCTTACAGCTTGAAAGTGTTTTGTTTTAAAATAACATACTTTGTGTAAGTTGAAGTATAAAATGATATTTGGTTCTAATATAATAATCATAAAGACTTCTCCAAAAAGGTATTGAAGAATTTGCTCATCGGAGTATTTATTTTTTAATCACTGGGAAATATCTGTGCAGCAAAGTTTGTAGTCCTGATTTGAATAGGGGATTTTGTAACTGAATGGTGCAGGTTCTCTGCTGTGTTATTATTTGCTTATTCCAACATTGTTTGAAAGCTTTCTTGGGATGGTTTCTATTGTTATCATAAATCATGTAGTGGGGTTTACCTTGCATGCACACTCTCTCTCGCTCTCTCTTCTCTCTCTTCTCTCTCTCATGTCCCGGTCTTTGGTAGAATAAGGATTCAAACAGAATTTGAAACAAGAAAATATTTTATTAATCACCTAATGAAGTCAGTTCTATCTTTTAAGAAGTGAGTTAAATTCCCTCTGATGCTTTCCACATATGTTCAGCTGAATTTTAAGCCAAAAGAAAAAGCAACAGAGACTAAAGTCAAAGATTAAAAAATATATAGGAAGATCTTTTCTTACATTTCAAGATACTTCCTTCCCCCTCCACCAACCTTCAATTCTTTTAAAAAATAAAGATCTCCTTACTTTACTCAGAAAAAAAAATCAGGGCTGATCAGTTGGGTTTTCTTACATTTTCTGTTCGGCCAATTTGATGGACGATAGCTTCTGGAAATGAAACTTTGAGCATGACTTTTTCAGTGCAATTAAGTACTATGAGTTGCCCGTCAAAAGTCTTTTTGAAGTTTAAACTTATTTTTTGTGAAGATGCAGTTTTTAGAGCAAGAAGAAAAACGTCAAGACTTCAGAGAAACTTAGTTTGGACTTTGTTAATATCAAGCTTTTACCCTAGATTTAAATTGTTAAAAACTTGAATCATTCTTCCTTTTAGGTCTTTTTTTTCAAAATTAGTCATTGAAATATTAACACAAAAAGCTTCAGAATGCCATAATTATAATGAACAGTCACGAACATCCTCAGCTCATGATTTTTTTTAAGGGCAGAAAGTGCTAGAATGGTCATATTATTTCATTTAATATGTTTTCTCTTTGATTCAGTTCCTGTGCAGATGCAGGCTTTTGAACTGTAATTGGCATGGCTGAACTGTACACAGGGCTAGAGTGTATATGTTTAAATAAGGCTGAATCAATTTACACGCCCGCTAAAGATATAATTGGTAAGAAGGCCCCGCAGTGTGCCACATGTGGGGCTGAGATGGAAGACTTGGGCAAACTGACTCATAACTGTTTATTAACTTCAAATCTGTCTGGGATGTTTCATCAATCCGTACCCAAATCATTTCTTTATTCCAATCTTCTGTTGGTGACATCCATATTTTTGGCAATAACACTATCGTAATTTCTATAAATATGTGATTTGCTATGTAGCACAATTAAGCATTAGACAGGATTCTGGCTTATTCAAGGAAGTTTACTTATTGAAATATTAGTTTTCAGGTAGTGATTCTGTCTGAGTAAAAGGTGGAGGCAAACATTTTCTAATATTACTTTATGCACATCTTAGAAATGGCTCTTCAATAATGCTTGCATCAATAATGTAAGTTATTTAAATGTGATCAGAAAAATATGATTTTAACACATTTTCAGAATAGCAATTGTTTCTCATACAGACTATAATTCATTATTTTGCCAAGTTATTACTATTATTTTTATTTTGTTGTTCTTATTTTGTGCCCATATTTGGGCTTGAGCTCAGGGCCTGGGTAGTGTCCCTTAGCCTTTTTGCTCAAACCTAGCATTTATCACTTGAGCCACACCTCCACTTCTGATTTTTTAGTGGTACATTGGAGATGAGAATCACACAGATTTTCCTGCCCAGGCTGGTCTTGAACTGCAATCCATAGATTTTATCCTCCTAAGTAGCTAGGATTGCAGGCCTGAGACACCAGTATGCTGGCTAAATTAATGTTTTCAACCAGTACATTTACTACACTCCCACTATAGTGTGACAATACAGACTTATAAACATCTCTCACTTCTATAGCCTTCTATTTACATTATCTGGTTCATCAGCAGCTTAGTATCATTTTCTCTTTCTGGGGAAAAGGACATAGTGATATTGCATGAATAAATTACACTAATACATAAGACTTTTGTCTTCAAAAAGATAAATTATAGAATAATTACCATCAGAATATCAAGTTTATGATAGCAGACCAACAGTGCCAGTGTTTACTCAAGTAGTCAACTTACTATAAATCATTTATAGTAAAATCTTAGTAATTCAGCCATACTAGCTAAGTATTTATAATTATAGTTACATGTTATTCTTTCCATGTGAGTTCATAGCAGTACCTCATCGTTCAATAAAATTGATGAGATTTTATGTAACCTTTCAGCAGTGGTAACAGATTTATTGGTACCCTTCAGGCAGGGAAAACCTAGTGGAATCACAATCTCGTAAGCATTTTGTGTGCATTAGTTGAGTAAAACAGTCCTGTTATAGGCAAGAAAAGTCTAAGTGTTCTCACTCTGATGTTCTAAATTTAAAATAATTTGAATCATGCTCCGTTTATCTGGGAATTTCCAGTCTTGGCAAGCAGAGTTATTAGGAACATAGTCATAAACCCAGAGTAAAAAATGTCACCCAGATATTCACTACTGGCAGGATAGCAGATTAGATAACTCTGAAAGGCCCCTTTACTTGAAAATAATAGTTCCTCCAGCAAAAAAAACCAAGAAAGCTATACTGCATTTTGTAAGCCTTTAAAATGAGGTGAATTAAGTCTAGAGGGAAAACACCAAGAAAAAATGAAAACCAAATGCTGAAACAGTAATGGAACACATGCAGTAAAGAAATGTAAAAGGCCAGGGTAAACAAATGTGGCTTGCTAGCCAATGTGAATATCAGCATGCAGCTGTTAGGCCTTCAGTCAGTAGCAGGTTCTGAGAACTGAGCTTCTGAGAGAGCCTTCTGGAAGCATCAAAAGATGAGGACCAGGAAAGGTGGTACTCTGCTAAAACATTCAGAAAAAATATAAACTGCTAAGAAAATAACCTCAATGAGGGAAATCATGGTTCAAAGTTGATCCAGGCAAAATTTACCCTACTGGAAGAAATGCTAGAAGCACATAGGGCTGGGAGAATGGTTCAAAGGGTGAGTGCTTGTCTAGCAAGTGAAGGGCCCTGAGTTTAACATTAATACTACGGAAACAAAATGAAGCAGACCAAAGAAAACAGAAACAAAGCCCAATGGATAGGTTAAATACCCAAGAGATTTGAAAGAACATACACAATATTTCAAGATTGTTAATTTGTATCCCCCAAGGAGAAAATAGAACAAAGAAGAGGCAATAGCTGATGAGAAAATGACTGCAAGTTGTCTAGAGCCAAGAAAACACATGGGTTTATGTTGATAGGAAAGACATTTGTTTCTAGGCAAGACAAATAAAAGCATGCCAGGACCTAGATATTTGGTTTTGGCATTGTATAATATCAAAGATAGGGAGAGGACATTAAGAAAGAAACCCAAGAGGAAAGATGAATCTGCAAAGGAGACATGTGAATGCAACAGCAACAGCAACAGATGTCAGAGTATGAGCAGAAACTTATAAAAATTTTCAGAGAAATTGACTGGCCACTAAAAGTTGTGTTCCTCCAAGTTTTTCCTAAAAGGAGTGTAAAGTAAATTTAAATGTTAGATGTATTAAAAAAGTAAAGACCCAAACAATGATGACAGAGTACACCAGAAGCTCAATGCATTTCAGGGCAGAGAACAACTGAGCTTTGAAGGCTGTAGGTCTATTTTGATAGAAGGATGGAAAGATTAATAATTAGATTAATAATTAGCATCTGTTGGTGGAAATATAAATTAGTGAAGTTGCTGTGGAAACCAATATGGAGATTGCTAAACAAAACTAAAAAAACAGAACTTCTCTAGCCTGCTATATCACTCCTGGGCATGTTCCAAAGGAATGTAAGTCATATATACAATAGAAATATCTGCATATCTATGTTTATCACAGCACTATTACAATAGCCAAGCTAGAATCAGCATAGTTGTCCATCAATGAATAGACAGAGGGGTGTGTGTGTATACACACACACACACACACACACACACACACACAATGGGATATTACTCAGTCATAAAGAAGAATGAAATTATGTCCTTTGCAGGAAAATGGATGGACACAGATATCATCAAATGATATAAGTCACAGTGAAAAAGACAAACATCTTGTGTTCTCCCGCACATACTGGAGGTAAACCTAAGCAAATGAATAACAGGAGTGTATAACAAGGGTAACTGTCAGGGGTGGGAATGAGTGGAAGGGAGAAAGGAAAAATGA